AGTAAAACCAAGAAAGATTTTAATTTGATTTGAAAAAGATAGATTATCAATATGAAGTATTCATTGGAACACGTCCAATAAAACGCATATTAATCATTAAGAGCAACGAATTGAATTAAAAAGATTTGTATTTATATGTAAAAAATGTATATAAGCTGAACTTATAAAACTCCAAATATTAATATTTGCAGAACTTTGATTAATAATGTTTATATAGAAACAATTGTTAGTTGTATTTGTAAAACTCTGAATAATAATGTTTATATAGAAACAATTGTTAGTTGTATTTGTAAAACTCTGAATAATAATGTTTATATAGAAACAATAGTTAGTTGAATTTGTAAAACTCTGAATAATAATGTTTATATAGAAACAGTTGGTAGTTGAATTCGTAAAACTCTGAATAATAATGTTTATAGAGAAACAATAGATAGTTGAATTTGTAAAACTCTGAATAATAATGTTTATAGAGAAACAATAGTTAGTTGAATTTGTAAAACTCTGAATAATAATGTTTATAGAGAAACAATTGTTAGTTGTATTTATAAAACTCTGAATAATAATGTTTATATAGAAACAATTGTTAGTTGTATTTGTAAAACTCTGAATAATAATGCTTATATAGAAACAATTGTTAGTTGTATTTGTAAAACTCTGAATAATAATGCTTATATAGAAACAATTGTTAGTTGTATTTGTAAAACTCTGAATAATAATGTTTATATAGAAACAATTTTTAGTTGTATTTGTAAAACTCTGAATAATAATGTTTATATAGAAACAATTTTTAGTTGTATTTGTAAAACTCTGAATAATAATGTTTATATAGAAACAATTTTTAGTTGTATTTATAAAACTCTGAATAATAATGTTTATATAGAAACAATGGTTAGTTGTATTTGTAAAACTCTGAATAATAATGTTTATATAGAAACAGTTGGTAGTTGAATTTGTAAAACTCTGAATAATAATGTTTATATAGAAACTATTGTTAGTTATATTTGAAGAATATTCATAGTTGGGGGCATTTTGTCGACAGGCAATTTTGTATCGGATTAAAAATACAGTTTCCCTTACATGAAACGCCTTGATTGGTTATACAAATAACGTCATTAAAACAGGACTGTGGTAGAAAACTTGTTAGAATACAATGGAGACGAAAAATATAAAAGAAACGAAATTACAATACGATTGAATGATCATTAGCCGGTTGAATTCGTAAGAAATCGTAATTATCACCTAGGTGAAAATTAATTTTGAATTAACAACTTGAATTTTCACCTAGGTGATAATTATTTTCACCTATGTGAAAATAAGGTGATAATTCCTGTAATTTTGAATCAAAAACTTTAATATAATCACCTAAGTTTAACCTAGGTGAAAATAATAGTTTTTAATTAAAGTAAAAAAAAAGATTTTAATTCAAAATAAAAAGTGGAATATGTCGTATGTGAGCCCCCGTATCTACTAAATTCATATACAACATATCAAGTACATGATCTGAGACTTATTGCCTGATTTACATCATAAATGTATCTCCAATCAAAAATAACTAGAACTTTTCAAGATTTAATAAGACCTCAATTATCAATATGAAATAAAAACAATAATGGAAAAGCACAATTAAAAATCAGAAGAAATTACAGCAATGGCTTGCCTTTACGCTATCTGAAACAAAGAAGATACATGATAACTTTGTATTAGGAGTAAATGAGATATTTGACAAAGAAATACCTTCTAGGGCGGTTCTGAGACTTCCATGCACATAAACATGGGTCCAACAACTTCAGAGAACCAGTTATCAATGTACGCCAAAGGGAGATCATTTATCCGCGAATTTGGCAAAATTTGCATAAAACGACAAGAGTCTAACTTGTTCAGAAAGAGGTTACAATCCTGGAGTCTGTGGTCAGAAACATTATAACGATCTAAGTCATGTAATCTGATTGGTTGATATTGTCATTGTGAAATGATGTATTTAAGGTTACAAAATATTTGAAAAGAGACTCATCTTGGTTATCGGTTCACAAATAAGCTGTTGTATTTACCTGTCTCTACCACATATCATCATCATCGTCATCGTCCTGTCCAATACGAGCTGGCTGATTGAATGATACAGGGTTGATCCCCCCAGTCCATCTAAACCAAGGATTATAGGGCTGGATGTTCGAGAACTGGTTATAGCGAGGATTGTACATCATACCAGCATACCAGGGATTAGTCCAGTACTGTCCAGTTGTACCCATAACCAACAGCATCAAGACAACTGTCAGCAGTACTTGAGACTTTACAAACGCCATACTGGAATGAAGGCAAAACAGACATTCAGACAACAGTAGATCACTCTCTAGAATATAACCTAAAGTTAGGTGTTAAGGTGTTTCCCATGAACAGATAATATTGAAACAATAGACCACCCTCTTGAATAGTTTCTATAAACAGACATAAGTCAAACAATAGATCACCCTCTGGAATAGTTTCTATAAACAGACATCAGTAAAACAATAGACCACCCTCTGGAATATAACCCAGTGTTATGTGATGTCTAGTGTTTCTATAAACAGAAACTAGTACAACAATGGACCACTTTCTAGAAAATAACCTAACGTTATTTGATGTCTGGTGTTTCTATAAACCGTAGACCACTCTCTATAATGAATATAACCTACAGTAATATTGTAAGACAAAGAAACAACAGCGGACCATTATCTAAATGTAAATCTAACCCGAATGATGACTTCCTGAAACTCATACACTATATATGTCAGATTTTAGCAATGTCTCACATGAATGACCACAATCTCCATGTGATGAAGAGAGGTTTTGTCAATAAATAATTTGCTTTACCTGAGAAATCAGCTACTTGTTCTATCTTCTGTAGTTTGGTTTTAAATGATACAAATTGAAACTCTTGGCTTTATATACTGATATGAAGAATAGTTTTTCTGTTGCTGATAAAACTGAAACATGTGTCTAGCGGGGACTTGAACCATTTCGAAAGTATACAAAGTGAATATGTGGAGATTGAGTTTGTTCTGATGAAATAAAAAGTTTATATCCGCCAGGGTTTTGAACCAGTCAAGAGTCAACTAGTCTACAGATTGATGACAGTTTGACATGTTAAAATTACTTTCGGTTCTTCAGGCTACTCATGGTCACAGTTTTCACTAATTTGAACGGTTGACAGTTTAAAGGTTCAGCAAAGTTGAAGGGAATATACTTGGACTGAGAGCGCCACCTAACAGTGATAGTACGGCTGTAGTTAACTAGCTAATAATTGGGGATTTACAAGAATTTACAGGAGAATAATATCAGCTTAAATACACAACTTTATGATTTAAACTTTATACGTTTCAAAAGTTATATATGTCAGCGAAAACTTTATACAGTTATAATTATACAACACATATCATAATATATTCTTAATCGTTAACGTCTCGTAATGTAGACTCTCTATTGTTCAAAATTGTATACCTCTTGCGGGAAGAAAGTGCTTATGGATTAATGCAGATGAACGTTCGGAACGGTTTATCATAGAGGTGAACATTAGTAAATGTGTTGGGTGGTGAGCACGTACAATACAAATCTTTATTTAATGTCAGTATTTTATACAAAGATATAACATTAGCTTAATGCTATTTTCACCGACTAAAAGCGAACGTTAGCTCGTAATCGCAGTGCCTAGATCAGGACGTACATGTAATAAGAGCTAAATAGATATTGTCGATAAAAAACATATTTATTTTTTATTTGTACATTGTTTTGTTCCATTTCCTTTAACTAACATCCCTAAAGTAGTCATTAAATGACACTCCAAATGGCTTAAATGACTCATCATCCGTCACAAATCCTGAACTGAACACAGGGCAATCGTATCCACCGTGGCCATTGTCTGACAATAACCTCATATGAAGCTATAAGAAAACCTTCTTTAAGCGTAAGGGGGAAGTTACACTCGCATTACAAAATATAGTTCGTCAGATGTAAGTTATCTCCCTAGAAGACTCTCGTAGACATGACATGACTGGGTGTCAGAAACTAGTCAGATGTCAACGATGGAGACGAAAATTGAGCTATTGTCACATGACCTAATATTTGAAAGTAGTCATTGTCGTTAGAATTCATTAAACATTACAAGCAACGTCAATTCAATGTCGTTGTCTTTTTAGGTTTTTAAATTGGTAAAGCTTGGTTGTTTGGTAGGTGACAAGCTAACGTTCGATTCCAACAATTGTTGATAACGCAGACAAGGTAATTGTTGTCGATGACAAGCTGTGACGTTTCTAGGCAACATTAGTAGAGGGGGCCAAGTCGGGGGCCAGAAAATGAGGGGGGGGGGGGAGGGGGGGGAATGCATGGCCAGCCTCTTTTCTTGGGTGCGTAGAAACGCCACTGATGACAAGCTTATATCGCAGACTATGTTGTTGTACGCTTCCATGAGAAACTGATATCGCAGATTGGGTAATAGTTGGTAAGATAGGGCTGACCTCTATCAATTTTTGTAGTAAAAGTGTAATGATTCTATGGTCTACTTTTTCAGACACAAAAAATGTATAAATGGACTTCAATTTGGTTTGATTACTTTATATACTTCATATTTGATTTATATATTGGATACGCAAGAGTTTCAATTTGTTCAGAAATAGTAGCCTTAGGAGGACTAGAGATTATAATGCTAGTCTCGTTGGGCGAGGGGGAAGATTCTCTGTCAGGGAACTGACTGTTTGTAATTTGCGCCTCCCATCTCCTTCTCATTTAGACTTTCAGACTGGCCTGCTTTATTTCTGCAAATAGAAAATATATATTTTAAGAACATTGATATTGCGTTAATCACAGAAGTACAAACCTGTAGAATGTTAAACTACATATTAATTCATTAATTCAATAAGCAACACAAAGTAAAACATAAAACTCCATTTCATCTCATTAGCTGGCTTCAGATGCAAAATAGTCGAACTCAGCTGTAATTGTCACAGATAGAAATATCAGAACACTCATGATCACCTTCCAATTCTCATAAAATCATTGTTTTTCAAACTGAAAATAAACAGAACAATAAATTTCATAATATTGTTTAGCACCTAGGCTTCGTTCCATTTCACTAGATTGGTCATGGATGAGATCAAGAGGACGTAAAGCTACGTTTCATCTCATTCGAACTCAGTTGGACGTAAAAATACTCAATAATGTACACGATGACAGTGGGACATCCGAGAAATAAATTACAAAAACAGTGGGTCATAAAACTCCATTTCATTTCATTAGTCCCAATAAGGTACAACTCAATTAAACCAATACTCTACTTCCATTCAACATCCATCCAGTAAACACATAATGAAACTTACGATAGATTATAATCGTATTCGTCGAGAAACCTCATTTTACGATAATGTTTGGCCAGCTTCACAGCAAAGATGGTACTGGGAATAAAGAAAAATATACACCAACCCACAGAGAACCAGAACCCGCTCTGAAATTATTAATACACGATTGGTACAATCTCAATCAGTGCAATTTTTAAATTTACCTAGTTGTATTGTATATAATACGACTGACTGGAATAAAGTATATGAAATTTATAAGTAAAAACCTTTAAATCCAGGTTCTAGTCATCAATAAACGCATCTAAAACTGATTTAGATTCATTGCCATCGTAAGTATTAGATGACCATAACATTACCGGGAAATAGTAATTAAGATCGGTTCGGTCATAGTTGCAGTCATCAAAGAACTGGCTAATAGAAACTAACACGAAAACAGGTTGATTTTACAAAAACCCCATCAGAGGCCTTATTCTCCAGATTTTAAGAAATACAGTAATCCGATTGGATAACAAAACTAAATTTTCAATCAATTTTAGTGATAGATCAATCAGATGACTGGAACACTAAAATCATCTTGAAGTCAAGTTTTTAAGAATAAGGCCTCTGATCAGTAAAATATAAGCGTTCTATAAGCGACAAATTCGGACGAAAAACATACACAACTTACAAATGCATCTAGAACGTATTTACACATTCCTATAACAATGACAGACTGGTAGAGATTATAGATTGGTGTACATTTAGCTATATCATTCTTCAACTGAAATAGAATTCAAAATTACAATATCAAACCTGAACGTGTCATCACAGTTATCACCAACACCAATAGAACTCAGTCACAGTGGCTTTATATCACCGCCTATATTATTTTCCTATTGTTACTGTGTTTCACTTTATAAGGTGATCCTTGTATTACGAATTAAGACAATGAAACAACTTCATTAATGATACAAGTCTGTACCTAGCCTGTATTTACATGTCTTTGTCTCACAAAAGGTGACAAATGGCCATTTGCGAACCTGATGGGGTCTAAATTCTACGGCAATATGAATTGTACCAATTTTCGACATGAAGGTCATTGACCAAACCCTTTTAGCAATTATCTTTCCGGATTATCCGTAATGAATTAGAGCCGAGCGACCACTGCTTGACAACCGACAAACTACTCAAGACCACGAAGTTATAAGATTACAAGAGTATTTCTAAACTTCAGTCTTCAAAAAGATAAAAATAATTTTAGTATATCCTACCCCATCAACAGCTCAAATTCTCAGAAGATATCTAAATAGCACTCTTCAATCAAGGTTTTTGCACATCTGTAACTCAACCAAACCTTTAGCAATAGATACAACTTTTTCTGAAAATTAATTTTCACCCGGGTGGAAATTCAAGTTTTTAATTCAAGATTATGTTATATAATTATATTCCAGTTTTTTAATTCAAAATTTAAAAAAAATAAATGATGTCGTATACGATCCACCGTACACTTTAGATTTCGGGGAAGGGAGGGTTTGATTCTCCCAAATGTACAGGCCTTGGGTGGAGCAGATACTTTATTTGGAAATTAGGATTAAGTGTCTTGATATTGGGTTTTCTTCCGTTCCTATTCTGATCTGAAATTAGAAAAAATAACTCCTTAAACATGGAGGTACTTCGGCATAAAGCCTGTTTTTAGCTGCTATCTGTGCTAAGGTGGAATTTTTTTATTTTTCGTAAAAATCGTATAGAGTACCCACGCTCTTTCAGTTTTGAGAAAACAATCGTACAGGCTTGGTTCAAATCAGAAGATCTTCGATGAAATCGTAAAACTTGTGACTTAATTATACCAGAAAAGGTATGTTTTGGGTGAAAGGAGCTCTTGTGCAAGAGTTGATGAGTATCAGTTTCTTTGAAATACACTTTAATATCCAATTTATTTGTTTCTATAGAATCTCCCTTAAAGACAGTGGTATCGAGAACGTCTATGCTTTTGTCACTCACGTCTGCGGTCAGTTTGATGGAAGGATGGTGGTTGTTGAGAATTTCGCAAAACTGTTGGATAGAATAAGTCCAAACCATAAAAATGTCATCCAAAAAGCGTATACGTAAAAAGTGGGTAAAATGGACAGAGGGGCAACACCTCACATCCCACTCTGCCATGAAAAGGTTTGCGTACGAAGGGGCGAATCGTTTGCCCATAGCTGTCCCTGAAGTTTGTAAATATGTTTTACCATTAAATGTGAAATCGTTTCGACTAAGACAAATCTGTAACTGTTTTGTTTGGATCTGGGTTTCTATTAACTGCCGTTATCGATATTGGTATACATATAGAAGAAACGTCGATAGAAATTAAAATAGCATTAGAGGGAACTAGAAGATTTTTTATTTTATTGACAAAATCGGTTGTGTCTTTAAGGTAGGCGCGATGTTGACATGCTAGAGGTAGTAAGAAATGATCAATGTATTCTGACACTGCATACGACCCACTACCACAGTCAGATATAATCGGGCGGTCTTTAGGGATTTTATTCGAGATAAACCACTCCTTGGTTGGATTCTTATGGATTTTAGGCAAAGTGTACAAAATGAAATAATACAATTATGCTTGTTCCGATTTTAATTCCGGTCCTGTTCATTTTGGTTCTATTCTTATACTGTCTTCAACTGTTGTAATTACAATGAAAGGGGCAAATTTAAATAGGGACGAATCGGGAAGGGACAAATAGAAAGTGGCGAAATTGGAAAGGACGAAATCGATATAAATAGGGGGCGAATTTGGGAAGGGGTGAAATGGGAATAAACCTCACAAACTATAATGATTACAAACGAGATAATAATAACGCAGTTATTAAATTACACGAACTCAACAAGTCGTTGCGAAGTTTGCGCTTTCGGGCCTACGTATATTCACTTGCGTGAACTTATAGCAGTGTCATCCTCTGAAAGTAATCAAACTTACATTAGATTCATATAAAGTTCAATTATTCAATATGTGTAGCCTGAAGAATCGAAAGTAAATTCAACATGCATTTAACAAGCTGTAGATGACTGACTCTTGACTGGTTCAAAACCCTGGTGGACATAAACTTTTTATTTCATCAGAACAAACTCAATCTCCACTTTCCCTTTATACACTAGCAAACTGGTTCAAATCCCCGCCAGACAAATGTTAAATTTATAACCAACAGAAAAAACAACTCTTAATATGAGTATATAAATCCAGGCGTATCGGTTTGTATCATTTAAAACTAAACTACAGTAGAACACGATAGAAGAAGTAGGTAACTTCTCAGGTAAATCATATACATGTATAATCAAAAAACCTTAGTATAATGTTATATTTCGTTCTTGAAATTTCGTTTCTCGAGAGTTGAATATACCTGGGTAACGATTAGGAACAAATGCTCGTGTTTTCTGGGACAAGTCGCTTTATTTGATTGCTTCAGTTTATTGTCAATATCCCCTTTCAATTCCAGTATGCCGAATGTAAAATCTCAGGTACTACTTACATTGATGTTGGTGGTTCTAGGAACGACTGGACAGTACTGGACTAATCCCTGGTATGCTGGTATGATGTACAATCCTCGCTATAACCAGTTCTCGAACATCCAGCCCTATAATCCTTGGTTCAGATGGACTGGGGGTATCAACCCTGCATCATTCAATCAGCCAGCTCGTATTGGACAGGACGATGACGATGATGATGATACATGGTAAACAAAGGTAGATACAGTACAGATACACCGTAATCTTAAAGATATTGTATAGTTTAACAAAGATAATTACTATTGGGATTATTCAATAACAATAACCTCGGAAGCATAACCGTCCATAAGTCGACAACTAACCCCCTAATCAAGATTACACGGGGTGAATCTGATGCTGGACTTGTGGGACACTAACAGGAACTTCGGAAGCAGGATCGTCCATGGGTTGACACACTTATAAGAACCTCGTTCTCAGTATACCGTCCATAGGTTGACAGCTAATACGAACTTCCTCATCAAGATTACATGGGGTGGTTTGGTGAATGACTAAAACACCCCCACCACCCTTTTTGGTATATCTTACCCTTGTTGATATAGATGTTTAATTTTGTCCATAAGGAAATGAAATGAATGGAGTTTTACGTCCTACTTTTCTGCACCATGTGGGCTAATGAAGACGGGCAACACCATGCAGGTTGCAATGAGGGAAATTTTGCCAGGACAGCGGACAGGACAGCTCTTTTTCGATTTCCAACTGTCGAGGGATCGTTAACTTGCACAGCCTGTAGCACACGGGACCTCGGTTTATTGTCCCATCCGAACGACTAGACGCTTTTTCCATGTCAGCCCCTCGTACCTGCATCACTGACAGGGGGAAACCGGGTTGAAAAATGGACCAACTACTATCTCGTATACTCTTGGTACAAATTTATCATGTTTCTATTTGTTTCAGATATGTTAAAGTTATCATCAAATCGAACTGAGAAGACTAATGAACCATTGCTATGATTACTTTTGATTTTAATTGTTATTTTACACATTTTTAATGAGCTCTTATTAAATATTGAAATTTGTTGTTATTAGTGGTTTATTCTGAATTCTGTTCTTGATTTGCACAATAATAATATTTAAGAGATTTCGCATACAAACTGGTATTTCTACATTAAATAGAACAGACCAGATATCTCTCTTATATATTTGTAACTAGTGGGCATACTTTAGTCTCAGAAAAGGGAATATTCTAGCTTAGCCAATCAGTAATAGTGTTCAAAGCTCACCGTCGACATTTGAGTCTTTAAATCCATATGTGTCAAGAATTATCCGACTCGTCAATGTAAGATACTCTGTGATATATAGAAAAGACATATTTAGAAATAGTGAGTAAAATTTCTAGTTTGAAGTATTTTAAAGGGATTATGCAATTTTCGTACATTGCTAGTACTTCTGAAGACTATTTACATATCATCAAGACTAAAATCAAACTCCAAAAGGCCACATTTGTCCCTTTAACAGAAAATTGTTCTGGTTACCTTCTTGTAGCCCGGCAAACACACTGTGATTTAAAACTATAGCGAAATGAATCAAAAACACAACTTTACCCAAAATGAAAGTCAACATTTTCAGTGCATCGATATTTTGACCAACAAAACTATGCTAAAGAAGGGATTTCGTATGATAAATATTGTACATTTGAGTCAAAAGAAGCAAATAACATTTAGAGAAAGATACACTCGGGTTTTATCCGAGGCTGGAGTCTCCGTTTGCATGTTAAAAATTTCAGTTGGAAATCAAAAGAGGGCAGGATGATGCCGCTGTCCAGGGACAAGCTAATTATAGCGTTCTTATGTAGATTTTTACAGTGACCATTACCAGTGAGATTAATGAATGGGGACGAAGTTCACTTATGTTAAGTCCTAAGGGTGATGTCGACAGCAAGATGGGGAAAGCCCTATCTTCCAGACCACCTTGTGACACTTTCGACTTGGTTTTGAAACTCGACATGCTACATCAATTAACTCCATAAATAAACCTGGTAATAACGACCCGAATCACAAAATGAAACCTTTTAATCTCTCTCTCGGAATTTCCACATAGATAATAATTTAAGGTAAGGTTTGTCAATCAGACATTTTGTTTTCTATTCGCGAGTCTACATAGTTAATAATGTGTATTTATGGTACATTGTATAATAAAAATGTTGACCACACAACATCAATAACATAAAATACATCCGCTTATTAACATAGATTGATTACCCTAGTTAAAATTTAAAATCTACCACTGTAGGTAATAGTTTGTCATTAATGGATATTTACTTTTTCGAATGAATTACCATGTATTAACTTGTATTCCCCTGCGCTCTCTCGGTAAAATTTCCCTGCCTCTCGAACGTGACTAATAATCCTAATACTGACATACACCATAATAATTGGATAACAATCATTAACAAATGGAATTTGAAAACCGAACTCTTTCTTTAATAATAATTTGATTAAATTTCCTGTTATGTAATGTGACGTAAGAGGGGTCAGTGCAAGAGGATATAAACCGAAAAAAATCACACCAGTTTCATCATTAATTTGCGCTTTAGATTTAGAAAGTCT